CTGAATCTTTGGATGATATTATGCACTGTAGATGATGATAACTTATAATTCTTTGCCATTTTTCTCTGAGAAACTCCTTTCTGATATTGCTCCACTATTTTTCGCCGCAGCATTGGGGGAATTGGTGATCCTCTGCCCATCTTGACTTCTGAGAGACACTGCCACTCTGAGAGGCTCTTTTTATACCCAATCATGTTGCCAATTGACCTAATAAGTTGCAAATTGGTCCTCCAGCTGTTCCTTATATGTACATTTAACTTTTCCGGCCTCTTATTGCTACCTGTCCCAACTTTTTTGGAATGTGTAGCTCTCATGAAATCCAAAATGAGCCAATATTTGGCATGACATTTCAAAATGTCTCACTTTCAACATTTGATATGTTATCTATATTCTATTGTGAATAAAATATAAGTTTATGAGATTTGTAAATTATTCCATTCCTTTTTTACTCACAATTTGTACAGTGTCCCAACTTTTTTGGAATTGGGTTTGTATTTACCATAAATGACCCTGAGAGCAGTGTTGCCAATTTGGGGATTTTGTTGCCAAATTTAGCTACTTTCTCATTGTAGCTGTGACTTTTTTAAAAAAAAATTGCGACAAGGAGCTATTTTAGCTATATTTAAATAAAAATAGCGATTTTTTGGAGATTTTAAATTTTTTACTTGGCCACACCCTGCCGTAGGCCCGTGACCTCTCACGTTTGCTCTCAATCATGCCAACAGGTGCGTTCGACTTCATGCAGCACTGCGCAGACCGATCGGTGGCTGACTTGAAGCAATGCATGCCGGTTAGAAATTTAGTCCAACTTGAACCGACGCCACGTCACTGACACGTGTGGCATCAAAGTATCGCGATAGCATTTCGAGAGCAGCCGGCTGACTCAGCCGCCGCAGTTTCTCAAGAGCGACTGCAGGAGTGCTGATGACAGCACAGCTGTTTCACGATTGGCCAGCTTAACCACATGACAACAATGACATGTGTTTCTAACATCTTCAAATCAAATACTGCTCATAAATCTGTATTTTAGAACAGTTTTACTGTAGTCACAATGTTCTATTGAGTCATGTTTATCATGAAAGCATATATACCCCCACTTTATTATATATTTACGTTGAACTTTATTCTTGAACAGATGGCAGCTCCGTTTTTCAACTCCGCCCTACACCCTCCGCTACTCTCGTTGATCGCCGTCTGTAGCCGTGCTTCTAGTCGAACGCACCTAACGAGTCTGCGCAGTGAACACACCAGTACGCCACTCCTGCCATGACGCACACCCCAATTTCATTATAAGCATCAATCAAGATGGCGGAGAAAAAATTAATATCTTCTTTTAACCATGGACACAAAAGTTATACCACAATTCATGCACAGTCATATCAACCA